GGCAGTTGACTTCTGATTTCAAACTACCATGACCCGACTGACTGTGTCATATTCCACCACTTCCACAGTACTCACTTTACCCTACTCTCTACCTTCGTGTCTGTCTGTCTGCCTCTTTTACAGCTGTGAATCACTCTTCTGTTCCCCATCCATCGACTTTTGTCACTTTGATGTGCCTCCTCCTTTCTGTGTAGCTCGAAGTCAGCTAATGGACTAATAATAACTATCATAAATAAATAAACAAATGAAGACCTAATGTTAGAACAACATTATCATCATCGCAATGAGCGTATGCTCAAAATTTTACCAGCTTGTTAACCGGTAGCCGGTCCTAAAGTAGTGGTACTTACAACAGAAAAGCTCATTTCGCTCCTAAAAGTTTGTTTACAGTTGTCCAACTTAATTTTTCACAATAATAATCGACGAAGACCTATTCAGAAAGCAGAAGATTCCACTAAAGTATTAACAGAGAGGTAGCTTTCATAAGTCATAAGAAAATTATAGAGACTAAAATCTAACGCATGTGCAATGATTTGCATAACGGAATATAAAAATTGTATAAGCAATACCTCTGATAAAGTATAAAATCAAAGACTTATCATATTGTACGACAACGAAATTAGACGGGAAATCAGTGGCTAATGGTATGATCAGATTAGGGTTTTAAATTCTGTAAAATTAGATTTTTTTAAATTGGAATGACTTACAGATTGAGGATGGATTGAATGGATTTGGGAAGCGAGCTTGATGGCTGTTGAGTGGAGGAAGGTGGAATTGTTGTCCAACCACTACCATCAGCAGAACCATCGGAACTGGTGCGTTTGAGAATGTTCTCAATAGTACTGGCCATCTCCGCAGTTTCACGTACAAGCGGTGCACACATCAGCACGGCCATGTGAAGAATCGTTCGATGTCCGTCAGCCATCTCGCATGCGACCGTTTCAAGTCGAGATGGTGCGGCCGCCGCAAGTGAACGAAGCTACATACGAGAACGGAAATAAGTTGTTAATCTTCATGAGAAAATATTCCATAAAAGTTTTCTTTAAATCAATGATCGCATGGTAAATGAAAATGAAAGATCACGAGCAATTTTATTGCACATTATTCATGTAAAACGACTTATTTGTGGTCACTAGACAGCGCAGTAATTTGAGTAACATGTCATACCGATTTGGAGGCAAATTTAGAAGACGAAATAAAATTCAAAACCGAAAAGCATTTTTCTTTATTTCGGGATCAGCAAATGTCACAATAAATAGCTTACAATCTTTACCAACAGAATAAAACCGATCAACACAGACCGGGGTACCTGACCACCAAAAGCCAATAATGCTGCGAATACGATTATGTTTGCAAGCAAACAATCTCAATTGCACTAACAAAGTGTCTTGGAGTAAAAGCTCTTCTTTAAGCGCTCTCCGGGATGAGTCAACTGAAATCGGGTGATAGCTAGTGAGTACTTCGGTTATGGTGGGAGAAACTAATAACACATTTGTGAACAAAAAAAGCTTAATAACTTAGCTTAACTAACGATCGACTGTATGAATATTGAACGCTGATTGGCTGGAAGGTCACTACATCCACATTTGAGATAGGGCTCGATACGCTATCGATAAAACAGCACCTTTCGTTAGCCACAGAAGTTGAACACACTACACATACGTAATATTCAAAGCGAGAAAGTTGTGGATATTATTGGATTTAGATTTAGATTCAAAAAGGTAAATAAAAATTGTAGCTCACCGTCTCCTCCACTTTCGCCTCGTCAGTTCTAATGATGTGCTGAAGAAGACTGGTTTCTCTCGTAACGACAACTCCGAAAAGCAGACGTGAATCATTTGGAGGACGAGTAGAAGCGGAGGAGGATTTCTTATCAGCAGAAGCATTACCAGTACCAGTATTTCTTGTATCCCCTTCGCTAACACTGGATTTACGATCCTGCGACGAAACGGAGGAAGGATTCCTTGATGTGTTGATCCAAGCAAGTGCAGCACATTGAACTGGAGGTAGGTCTAGCCAAGGAGGGAAGACCCAAGACTCCTGACCAGGACGAGATGGTGGCAAAAAGGGAAATACAACTCCTGCCGAATCACGAAGCAATAAAGGACGCTAGAAAAGGGTGAAAAGAAATTCTTTAGATATGCCAAATGAATTAAGCGATCATTTATTTCTAAAGATGTGGCCTTTCTGATGGCTTACATGATAATCTTAAGTAAACTATTGCATAAACACCATCTTCATATTAATCTCCTCCAGCGAAAGCACAAAGAGAATGGTTAATAAGCCGAATAGCCCTAATTTGTTAAAGAACATGCAATGATCTGTAGACATTTGAATTATTTATCCAATTAACACACCAATTCAAATAAAATGCCTAGAAAGATAATTAGGGAGAACCAATTGAGATTCTCATAGGTAGCTGGAAAGTAAAATGAGTTGAAATCGATAGTAGTTACAAGCAACCAGGGACTTTGCTACTGGTTAAATGGAAGCAGGCTAAGTTCGAAGGTTTTCCAACACGCAGACTAACATAACAGAACAGAAATCAATGAGAAGCAAAAACATTCCGCTGAACAGTGAAATGACCCTTAATGGCAAGATGATCGGTTATTCACATCTTTACGTTACTAAGCGTATTGCAATAATTATTGATTGGAGGGTAGAAATCAAAGTATGCAAGAACATAAATATGATACACGAACCTCCGAAGGATTAGTAAGTGTGATGTTCGAGTAGGATGAGGAATCTTCACTACCGCCATCAAGGAGAATTCCAGATTTGCCAGCAAGGGCTGGCAAACGACGTGAAGAAACCGTCTTTCCGTTCAAGGTAAATACATGGTACTCCAAATGGCACATTGCAGCAGTAGCCAAATCATCTGTTGAACAGCGTCCAACTATCGCATGGATTCGGGAATTCTCTGGTGCAAGAGAGATGATTTTCTTCTTGATGATATTTGTAGATGCGTTTGAGTGGGCCGCTGTTGGTAACTTAGAAGCGAGGAATCCCATTGTGATGGGACGTGGAGTGGATTGAACAAAATCCGGAACTCTTTGAGGTAGACCACCACCTGAGGGCTGTTTCACCTGAACAATATCCGATTTGTTCAGCAAGCGACAATCCTAAAGTAATTAAATGTAAATAAAGATTTTGGGGATGGACTTGTGCTGCTCCATAATTCTTAAAATACTTCTATTTTCTACATTAGAAATCGTGATTTATGTGAGACAGGAACAAACTCAATCAATCTAGACGATCGATTTAGATACACTTTACGAGTGTGCAGGAAATAGCACTATTGGCAATAGTGCTTCACTCGAGACGATTTAAGAAAGGGCACTTGAGGAAACCAATGTTCAACTTCCGTTGTTGTGGATATTGTCAAAGATATCAATCACCATGCCACTGATGAACCACGCATCGTAGTTTCAGCGATCGAACGATTTGATAAAAATATTTACTCAACCCCACTGTGATGACGGAGTATATCTCAGAAAATCCCCATATTGCTTATGAGAAGCATTTCAAAACCACGTGAAACGAGCAACAAGACAAGTCTTTTGCACACTTAATACTCTAAATTTGGAGTGCGCAACAAACTTACCACCACGTGGTGCACCCTGGGCAACGTATACTTATACGGCAAAAAAGTCTATTAACCGGCAGTTGACTTCTCACTTCAAACTATTATGGCAAAACTATTTATCATATTCGATCCTTCTACAGTGCTCATCTTACCTTTTTTACGCTTTTGTGTCTGTCTGTCTCTTTTACATCTGTCAATCACTCTTCTGTCCCCCTTCTCGAGTTTTTGTCACTTTAATGCTAATTCTCCTCTCTGTGAAGCCCTGAAGTCAGCTCCAGGGCTAATGATAACTATCAAAACGCCTGCTATTTGATATATAAATAA